ATATATTTGTTACTACAACCAAATGGCAGCAACTATAAAAATGCTAAAGCTCTCCATGTTCTTGGATGCCACAGGAATCAATAAAAGATCTGAAAAGAGCAATGCTGACAGCAAAAAGAATGTGAGACAGAAAAATGGAAACTAAAGGGAGAAAAATGTATGAGAAACTGATCTAAGAAATGGACAGGAAGAGAGGAAAGAGAGAATTGATGGAAAAGTATAGGGCTAAAGAATCCTTACCTCCCTAAGCTTCCTCATGTCAGCTTGAGAAGAGTTAAATACAGAGTGAGAGGAACAGGGGGTAAAGTGCAGAGAGAAATTGAATTGGCATTCTGACCAAAGAGGGGAGTTATATGCAAGAGAAGATTCAATGCATAGGAGGGAGAGGAGTGGATGCATAGACTTGTAGGCAGGAGTTCATCCTAAGGAGGCTGGAGGACACCAAGATACTGTACACCTTAGTTGAAGATTAAAATGAACTGAATTGAGAAGCTAATCGTCTTTGTTATCTATTACTAACTAGGTATCGCAGTTGAATTTTTCCATTGCAAATTATCCAGATTGAAGCCGTTTCTATCTTTCTCTGTGCCTTAATAATTTATAACTATAATAGGGCTGTTTCATTAACAGTCCACCAGTGTTTGAGTACCACTGTAGATAAGATTTATAGTGAATGTTTAAATACATCATTTGTCTAACTCCAGTCGTTAAGACAACTTTTATAGTTATAAGACGTAGCTAATCAGTGAAAGATGGATTGATGGAAGTATCTAACGGAATATGAGACAAGATTTTGACCATAATAACTTAGCACTGAGATTATTTTCATAAGAAAAATAAATAATAAATTGTAAAGTCCAGGTTGCAGATATTTTAATCTAAGAATCTTTGGAATCTGTAGGAATTTTTTCATAGTTCTAATAGTTTTCTTAAGCTTTCCAGTTAAGATTGTGTCAAATATTTTTTTTAATCAGAGAAAAGATGATCTGACAATTCTAACGATATAAAATGAATAAGTAGTCAGAAGAGTTAGTGATCAATGTGGAGAACTTTATTATAGCTAACCAATTGTTTTGTCATTGGTTATGACAAATTATTTAGGAGAATGACAAAGTTTCAAACTTTGGATAATATATAATTGAGGGAGAAAGTATCATTGTCACATTTTGTCAGTTTGGTCATCAATTTGCTCATTTCCACTAAACTTCCTTTAACCTGGGTCAGTCCCCTACTACCAGTCATCCAGGTATAAACCTTGCTGAAAATTGCTTGAATCCACTAAAAGAAAAAGAAAAGCATATGCTTTATTTGCCTCACTAACTTTCTAGGGAAATACATTTTCAGGACAATGGGGTTATCCCTAAATGGTAACTTTTTTGAAAAAGAGCAAAGTAATCTTTGTCTTGTCCTATGGAAATCATAAGAGATGTGAGCTGCTGTGTGGCTTGATTGAGACTGTTTGCAGCTGAAATGGAGATTTAACGTCTAAAGTGTTTGTTTCAAACTCTTCCTCATAGAGATACATGGCCTGCAACTGAAAATTCATTCCTCAACAAAACCCATGGGGTTTTTAATGAGATGTCTACAGTCTACCTCTGAACAATAAAATTTTTTCTTTTTTTTTTTTGTTTCAGTATTAGCTTAGAGATTCCGTATGCTTTTCTTTTTTTTTTTTTAGCCAGAATTACCAGTTTGCTGATGAGACAGACTGATTAAATCTGCAGTGCCTTCTCTTTTGAAAATCATGTTACACGGGAAGCTAGACTATAATCAGAAGGAGCAGAGGGACTTAGAGTCTGAGGCCATTAGACATTTGAGTTATTCAAACCAGCCTGTGGTGCCAATGTTCATCTGCGTCAGTGCATCTTGGGGTTTTTCTCTGAGAAAAATTAAGATCATAGCAAGCATGTTAAGAGATGAACCTGTTCTTAAGTGAAAGCACTCTGCAGTGCTTTAAAAATCTCCTACCTTAACCTTTCCCCTAAGAATGTGTCCAATTAAGAAATTTTGTTAACCCAGAATTTAATTTATATGCAGTCATATTTGAAGTCAGGGAATAAACATTTTTCCTTCCTTTCTCTGTCCTCTCTCCCACACTTTGTAAAAATTTTTGGGAAAAATAATAAATGCACCAAGGTCCATAAAAACATTGTGGTACAAACAGTTTGCACTCAACTGCTGACCTAAAGGTTGGTGGTTTAAACCCACTCAGTATCTGTGAGAAAAAACCAAGCAGTCTTGCTTCCATTAAGATTACAGCCAGGAAAACCCTATGGAATTCTGTGACACATGGGGCCGCCATGAGTCAGAATCAACTCGATGGCAGCTGGTAACAAAAATAAATGCACATGGGGAAAAATTCAAATACCACTGAAGTTATATAGTCCTAAGTAAAGCCCTTTTTCCCCTCATGTCTCTTCCCTAGAAGCAAGTATTCTTAACAGTTTATTCTCCTCTTTCTATTTTTTTTTAAACACAAATATTTTACGAATTGTTATTTACTTTGTTTTTTTTTTTCATTTGATACAGCTTAGAGGTGGGAGCAAATAATTTTACATATTTAAGTTCTTTCTATGGTCTTTTGCTTTTTAAATCATATAAAATTTATAATTTTTTTTTTTTTTTTACAGATTTCCACATAACCCAGGTAATACTGAGGTATAGAAGAGAATTTCATTTTAATGATTATTTTCAAAATTTTTTTAGCCAGCCCCCCTCATTTTTTCTTACTTTCACAGAATTCTTAATGCCTAGTATATTTTTATGGGAGCTCTGGTAGCATAGTGGCTAAGACACTTGCCTGCTAACCAGAGGGCTGGCGGTTCAAACCCACCAGCCACTCCCCGGAAGGAAGGTTGGGCAATCCTACTTCCGTAGTGATACTGCCTCGGAAACCCAAGGAGGGGTCGCTATGAGTCGGGGCCGACTCGATGGCACATAACAACAACAACAACAGTATATTTTTATAATTTTATACCCGGTAAGTCCAGACTGCACAGGACACATGAGAATCTTGAGAACCTCCTGGGATATGTAGACATGGGTAGGTCAGATGCTATTCCCAGCCTCTGCATTGGTGTGGTCCTGGCCTGAGCTGTCCATAGAAATCTGGTAATACTCTGACTGTCATGTCTGTCATGGCCTTCCTATAGGTTTCACGTTCTCTTCAGCTTCCACGTTGTTGTTGTTCTGTGCCGTTGAGTCGGACCCGACTCATAGCGACCCCTCCTTGGGTTTCTGAGGCAGTATCACTATAGAAGTAGATTGCCTAATCTTCCTTCCGAGGAGTGGCTGGTGGGTTTGAACCTCCAGCCTTCTGGTTAGCAGTCAAGTGTCTTAGGCACTCCCAGAATCCTGAATCGGGAGGACTGTTGGCCTGTAGTCTGTGGCTCTGCAGTCTCAGGGCATTTCTACAACATGGTGCCCTCCCAGGCACTTTGTAGACCTCACTGGTTGTTGTTAGGTGCAGTTGAATTGACTTTCCACTCTTGGTGACCCCATGTGACAGAGTAGAACTGCCGTATAGGGTTTCCTTGCCTGCAGTCTTTACGGAAGCAGATTGCCAGTTCTTTCTCCTCCAGAACTTCTGAGTAGGTTCAAACTGCTAACCTTTCAGATCACTTAACATTTGCACCATTAGGGCTCCCCTCCAAACACCAAACTAAATTCATTGCTGTTGAGTCGTTCCTGACTCACAGCAACCCCTCCTTAGGTTTCCGAGGCACTATCTCTATGGAAGTAGGTTGCCCAGTCTGCCTTCCGAGGGGTGGTTGGTGGGTTTGAACCACCAGCCTTCTGGTTAGCAGTGCTAGTGACCTCTTTTTTCATCAGCTCTATACTGTGGGAAAAATGTCAGGTGCTGCATACGAGCCAGTATCAGCTAGTGGTCACTTGCTTTATAGAAAAAAAGAGGATGGAATTTTCATTGCATCCATTTAGCAGAAGCATTAGAAATCATATTTTTGAAAAGATTAACTTTATTAATTTAAAAATCTTCATTGCATCCATTTAGCAGAAGCATTAGAAATCATATTTTTGAAAAGTTTAACTTTATTAATTTAAAAATCTTCCCCAAAATCACATTAAGTAGAGATAAAAATATGTATGTACGTAGTTCATAATTTTTTTTTTTTTTAAACTAAGTGATCCAAATTATTCTCAGTGGCTTTCCTTAGTTATTTCTAACTTGGCAACACTATTTGTTTAGTTGTAAAATTTTTAAAAACAAAAATCCAAATATGTGAGAGTGAATAGAGCCTGAACATTAAAAATAGATTGTGAAGTTTTTTTTAATAGTATTGTTTAAATTTGTGCCATAAATATTTATAATAAACATATAAAAGAAAAATTCTAGATGCCACTTTCAAGAAGTTACTGGAAAAGAGCATGATTCTAATGTGGAGTTCTTAGTTAACTTGTGTGGAGAACTTTCCCCCCAACACACACATAGTCGTGATACCACTAGAGGGAGCAGTTGAGCAGTTGATGGTGCAGTCCTTAAGTGAAGCAGTTAGTAGTGGTTGGGGGAAGGAAAAGTCATGACTAATAAGCAACTTGTGTTTGACTGTGAGACATCAGTCATTACTTTGTCATTTTCAGTCTTACTGCCCTCCCCCTTCCCCCAAACATTCCCCTTTCATGTTCATTTCAGATTTTCTTTCCAACACATTGACTCTTTCTCTATCCAGTTTTCTTTCATGCTATTAACATTTGTTACTGTGTTTATATTTTCTCATGATTATGAAGTTTCTAAAACTCTTTTTGTGTTATAGCAAGCAAATAGTCTTCGTTGGCATAATATTTATTAACTGGACTAGTTTTCATATATCAGTAGAAATTGCATTTTAAACCTAATGCTTCTATTTGATTTGCTTGTATAATGAAGCCATAAAGATTTCCTCCTATTCATCTGACTCATACAAGGTGTAAACAAACAGCAAAGAAGAGATGCTGGCTTGTACTCAGCATCCAAGCTAATGTTGTTCATATTGTCTTATTAGAACACCTGGAGAGTGCAAGTTCTAACTCAGGTATACCAGCTGCACAGAGAGGTGAGTTTGTCTAATTAAGCAAATAGTCCACCAAAGATGTGAAATTCTAGGTCTGTGGTGCATATAAATTACAGACGTTGAAGAAATGCACTGGACAATGGAATAGACAACAAAACATGTCTTCATTGTAGTTAGAATGCATTTTTTTTTAAGTTAATGAAGCTAATATTTCAAAAGGAGCTCTGGTGGCGTAGTGCCTAAGGCATTTGACTGCTAACCAGAAGGCTGGAGGTTCAAACCCACCAGCCACTCCTTGGAAGGAAGGTTGGGCAATCTACTTCCGTAGTGACACTGCTTCAGAAACCCAAGGAAGGGTTGCTATGAGTCGGATCCGACTCAGTGGCGGTGAGTTTGGTTTTTGGTTTAATATTTCAAGAGTTTTTTTCTTTTTTTTAGTGTTTTAATAGTTTCCCAATTTCTGAAAATAAAATATTAGCCCCTTAATATTTTTTTAGCTTAGCCACAGTTACTATTTTTAAAAGGGGTCCTTATTAGGCTAATACCTGCCTCCCTCACCCATTTTGTCTTTGATGCCAAATTTAGACATGAAAACAGAATAAACAAAAATGACCATTTGGCTTTCCAGTTACCAGTGGTGGAAAAGTATTTTAATAAAAGTTAAGTCAACTAGTGATTTTTTTTTTCTCATGTATTCTTCATCTGATTCTCATTTTTATTTTTAATTTTAGAGTAAAATAGGGAGGAAATCATTCACAAATTTTGGACTGTAAATTAAAGTCTTAAGATAGGGACAACTAAAACACTGGAAAGTAAAATAATGGTAAATAAAGTTATTTTAAAGCACACTGTGTGGTCCTTTCATTGATATTTACAGTAGACCCCAGTTATGCTTTCCTTAAGAGAGCGCACACACACATTTGTGACATCACCACAGAAGCTCAGCCAGCTGGGAACTTGGTTTTGGACAAATCAGTGTCTAAAGCTTGACTCTTTGCTATCTCTCTTACCTGACTGGAAAAAGGACCATTCTTTTTTCTAAGTTACAGTTAAATTACATCATCGGAAAGGAGTGTTATGACGAGCAAGAGACGTCATCCATATTTTTTCTTTGTTTTTTCTTTTGTTTTCTGTCTGTGTTTTCAGCGACGTCAGTTGATTACAGTTCCTTTGCAGACAGATGCAGCAGCTGGATAGAGCTCATTAAACTGAAAGCTCAGACCATAAGGCGCGGATCAATTAAGACAAGTAGGCGGATGTTTCTACCACATTATGATGATCTGAGAAGCATATCCCTGATTTCCCAGTGGTGAAGGCTAGACCTTACTACTCAGTAATAACATTGACAATCAATCATATATTGGAGTGTGAAAGCTGCAGACTTTCATGGTTATTTAGCAAAAGTTACTGAAGGACCTGTAGACTTAACTGATTTTAACTATGTAATTGTGTTTTTAAAATTCTACTTTCTGTGAAGATAAAAGTATGCAATAGATATTATATCCTTCTAGATAGAAGGAAATTAACAGCTCTCCTTTTAAAGAGGTATTCTTCCATGACCCCAGCTACTATGTAGTATATGGCATATGTCAGTTTACTGTAATGTGTGCTATTCAGAGGGCTAAAAGAATGAGATATCTCTAGAGAGAAAGCAGTTAACTTCTTTTACTACTAGAATCAGACATGTTAATTATATGTTCTTTATTTTTACTCCATGTGTTTTGGTAGACTTTGAGGTAAATGCATTGGAGTGAAATAGTTTACAGTACATTAACAGGGAAAGAACACAGGATGGAGAACCAGCCAGATGTAGACTTGAATCCCTGGAGTGCCATTTTAATAGCTGTTGACCTTGGGCTAGTTATTTATTTAACTTCTCTGAGCCTCGGTTTCCTCATGTGTTAAATGGGGTAATAATACCTATGTTCTGGGTTGTTTTAAGGATGATATATATAATATAGTGGTTATTTAATAAATAGCTTATAGTAGTTATTTAGTAAATGGTAACTATTATTAATATTATAAATAACTATCAGTCAAGGTCATTTGTTAAGTTTTTAGAATTATGAGTTTGTTTAATCAAAAAGGTTTGGTTAAAAAAAAAAAGCCTTTTACAACTAGTTAACATAAGGTTTATCTACAAGTTGACAGTGATGATGAAGTCGTCTGAAAAAGATGGAAAAAACTGCACTGGGAAATAAAACAACTTTCACACTCTCCTTGTAATAATTTGTTCTTACAGCAGATAATTTTTAATGCTCTGCCGCTTTTTCTTTTTCTTCACTTTTTAACCAATCATTGTGTATGTAGCTATACCGCACCAACATTTTCTTTTGCAGGAATGCCATTTTCTTCCCAAAGAATTCCATTCCAGCATTTCCTTTTATGTTTCTCTTTCTTTCTCTTTAAATTGCATGCAATGCATGATAATTTCTTTTCTTTCATGACATGGCTTAGCCTCACAGACAGCTGAATGTTGTCACCACTTATTTGGAACCTTAGAGAATAATCATATTACAGCCTCTAACTTAATGCTTTCTCTTCTTTTCCCAATTTTAGCTGTGACAGTTGAAAAATCAAGTCCGATGGGTGAAGGAAATTTCCGGAATCGTTCTGCTCCATCTTGTGCCAGTTCTACAGTTGGGGTTGTTAAGATGACACCTCTTTCTTTCATTCCTGGAGCAAAAATAACTAAGTACCTTGGAATAATTAATATGTTTTTTATTCGGGAAACCACTTCTCTTCGTGAGGTAAGGTTGTACAAGTTATTTACATGTTCTTGTGAATTTTCTCTGATTAAGGGTGTTAGTAACAAAACCAAATTTCCAATTACTGTACCTTTTTTTTTTTGGCCCAAAATAACTTGTGTGCCGATGAGTCATCTCTACTCACAGCAACACTATAGGACAGAATAGAACTGCCCCTTGGGGTCCTAGGCTGTAATCTTTATGAGACCATATCACCTAGTCTTTTCTTGCAAGCAGCACTGGTGGATTCAAACCACCTCCGACCTTTCTGTTTGTGGCCAAACACTTAACCATTGCAACACGAGGGCTCCTAAAAATAACTTACATATTTTAGTAACCTATCTGGATTGATTCTAGGCTAGCTTACCAAATTTTATATTTCAAGTTAAAATAGTGAATGTTATCACAAGAGTTGTGTAAGGCTTAAACCCATTTATTGTTAGAAATTCCACATCCTTATATAGTGAATGATATTGTGAATTAGGGACATTTTTTAATTTTTGCAGTGTGAAACCCTGTAAACTCTTCAGATTTCACTCTAGCGGTATGTTCATTATAAAGGTGACTAGCTATACTTTATTCCCCATTGTTTCTCCAGCAGTGTTTCTACATTTTGTTGGAAATACAGCCTGCACGCTGTTTTTAATAGCAAGCTCACCATCCTGTGCCCAGCACAGAGTAAACACATTATGCTTTGAGTGAACAAATTAATGACTTTGGATAGATTATTTAATAAATTAGATGGATATTTCCTTGAAAATAAATTATTTTTTTATTCATATCATAAATTACATTTTAATGGTGGCATAGTGCCTAAGGCATTTGACTGCTAACCAGAAGGCTGATGGTTCAAACCTACCAGCCACTCCTCGGAAGGAAGGTTGGGCAATCTACTTCCATAGTGATACCACCTTGGAAACCCAGGAGGGGTCGCTCTGAGTCGGATCTGACTCGATGGCAGTGGGGGGGGACAATTAAAATAGGCTCAAAAACCTTTCAATGTAGAATTCAAATAGGTGATAGTTCTAAGTCTACTTAAGTTTAACAAAGAAGTTTGGGTGTGGGAAGCTGGCATAGATTGGTGAAATAGCCTTTTGCATTTACTCTTAATAGCCCTTGCTGTCGCACTATTTTGAATCCATAAAATTTCATTTTCTAAATGCCTTATCTACTATTTAGCTCCCGTCCCCCAAACCGTTACTTCATGGTTGATTTATTTCCATAGAGACTTTTAATATTAACTATAGTATCCCAAATCCATTTATTACTTGGGTGAGTTATTTGCTCATAGTCATAAAATCACTTCAAAATTACCCTTGTGTAGTCTCTACTACTCTGCTGTCAGAAATTTTTCATTTAATAGGAGGAAAACTGATAAAAACAAAGGAAAAAAATTACACTGAGCTGCGATTGAGTTGGAGGCAGACTGAAGCAACTCACTGAAGTCTTTAATTAAAAAAAGGGGTACCTTGCACAGCTATGTCTAGGATCTTCTGGACTTTCAGAACGATGTGAGCTAGTAAAATGATTTTCTAACAGTGCATTCAGTTTTACTCTTAATGTCCAGTTTGAAGTTGTAAATTCCTTCCTACGCTGTAAATAACCTCCATTAGTATTTGTGGTAACCTTTGGTTCAAAACCATTGTAAGGTATTGGCTACCTTTTGGTTTCTGTTTTGTTTGGCTTTGAACCTTGAAAAGGTACCCCAAACTAAACATTCACTTAGAGTCCAAAAGCCCTGGATTTCATCCTCTAACATAATAATGGAATACCTATTGCATGCATCTGTTGTATTAGGTGTTAGCATATAGTTGTAAACATAACAGATGCAGTCCATGACCTCATGGAGTTTACAGTTTAATGGAGGTGCAGGCATTAAACAAATAATCATATATCATTACTAATGATAGATAGTGGTAAGAAGAAATAGGGCAGAGCTATGAGAGAATATAACAGGGGAACTTGATTTAGATTTGATGGACATAGCAGGTATCTCCAAGGAAGTTACATTTAAACTTGGACCTGAAGGGAGAGTAAGAGTTATCCTGGAGGGAAATAGTTCAAGGCAGTCAAGGCAGTGGGAACAGCCTGTACAATGACTCTGAGGCAGGAAAAGTACTCAATGCATTAAGAACATTTGAGAAACCCCAAAAAGAGACCATTGTGACTGGAACATGGTTCAGAACAGGAGATGCAGATAACAAAGAGGATTTTTTTTTTTTTTTAATTTAGTATCAATTTACTGGAGTGGTTATGGGAACAATTTGATAGGGGGAGATATTAAAGTGGACAAGCAGTTTGAGTTTTTTCTCAGCCATTTATTTATTAGTTATGTGCCCATGGGCAAATTATAAATTATCTGAACCTCAGTTTTATTATCTGTAAAGTGAGGATATTAATCTCTATCACAGACATGTACTTAATAAAGGTTTGTTGATTCCTTCATCCAACAAGTCAATTGTTCCCATTATGAAGGAAAGTAAAATTATCATCCATTATATTAAGATAATTTAGGGTGTTTTAATGATGTATCGTTTGACATTCATATATACATATATATACAGTGCTTTTCTTGTGGATTATTATTTAGGAAGGAGGTGTCAGTGGCTTTCTCCATGCTTTCATTGCTGAAGTGTTTGCAATGGTGAGAGCTCATGTTGCTGCTTTAGGAGGGAATGCTGTTGTCTCCTACATAATGAAGCAGTGTGTTTTCATGGAGAATCCGAATAAGAACCAGGTGAGATGCAGTTAAGTCTCTGATGGTAACCTGAGAATTTTCCCAATGACCCACCCCCTACCCAGACAATATTTTGTTTACCGAATTTATTACTAACCACGGTTACGCATAGCTTAGATGTTGTTTCCACATCCCAAGTGACTAGTTTTTCTTAACTACTTCTGGAAATTACTGAGTTACTCTTTCTACCATCTTCTTTGTGGGTCTTTGGAATACAGTGATAGCTAACTGAGAAGAGGCAAAGATGTTGCACTCCAGACTTCAGTCTGGCAGAGCGTAAACTCTTCAGGTCTAGCTGGCATGTTGGTGAAGAGCACACCACGATGGGGCCACCGCTTGTTCATTACTGAAAGTCATTTTCTGTTTAGAGGGGGTGGGATGTTGTTTAGGTTAAATTTTGGAATAAATTTTTTTTATCACTTTTGAGTTAGTAACAACTCATTTAAAATTATTAAAGATTTCCTTAAAGATTATTAAAAATAATTAAAGATTTCCATTAAAAAAATTAAATAACTCTGTTAATACTTGAGATGTAAAGAAGGCAGTGCTTTCCAGCTTCTTCTCTTCATGGCCCACATCAAACTTGATGTTATGTATATGGCACACTGTAAATGGATGTAGCTGCTTGGGGCTGGAGGTAACCAACCAGCTCTGGGTTTCTGGCTTACGGGGCTGCCTTGAGAGTAGGGGTAGGGATCAGTGTCGTGGCAAACCTTGGCCAACACAGAGCTTAGGAAGCTCTGTTATAGGCAAATTACTGATCAGTTGAGTGGGAATTAGAATGAATAGATGTAGAAATTAGAATTAGATGTGTGGATGGATGTGTGTGTATTTTGTTCCCAGGTTTATGGCTAGTTAATTGTAGCCAGACAAATCATTTAAATTTCCATTGCTCCAATTTTTTAATTGATAAAACTATCTTATAATGAAAGTGAGATGCTATCATTAGATATAGAAGCAATTTGAAGAGACATAGAGATTCAAAGTAATTCTAGCTTTACTTTGAAATCATTTGGTTTAATGAAGTTGTAATCTTCAGGAGAGTGCTGTTTGATAAAGCTCTTTCAGCTTTCCTTAGCCCACTTTAGTTTATGCATTTTTTATTATTCAGGGTATATTATCCTTTTTTTACATAGATGTTGAATGAAAATAGTAATACCATGAAACTAGAAGACAACTTACTCGCAAATTTTGGCACTCTGCTTAAGAAATAAAATATTAAAAATACGGCTGAAACTTCTGTGGACCAGTGTTCTGCTAAGTGAACCACCCTCTTGATTTTGTTGTTTATCATTCTTATGCATGCTTTTTTATTTTAAAAATTACATGTTTGTGAATATAGGATACCACAACAAGGATGAACCTTGAAAACATCATGCTGAGAGAAATCAGTTGCAAAAGGACAAATACTATTATATGATCTCACTTATAAGCAAATATTTAGAAACCAAACATTACTAGGGATTCGGGGGCCAAGGGGTTAGAGGGAGCTTTCGCTTAGTGGTCACTGAGCTTATAGTGGAACCTTAAGAAAAGTATAGCCAAGAGGGTGTACAACTTGAGGAATGTAGTCAGTGTCACTGAACTGTGCATATAAATGTTGTTGAAATGGTGTATGCTTTATTATTTATATTTTCAACACAATACAAAAAGGAAACAGAGAAAGTATTTTTAATGTATTTTTGAGTAGGTAGTAGTACATTGGCATGATTAAAAATTCAAAACTATGGAAGCGTATTAAAAGGGTATAAAGTCTGCTTTATACCCTGTCCTGTGTCCAAGTAGATCCTTTTTCCTCCCCACATACAAGTAAAGTTACTAGATTCTAATTAATTAAATGTATCCTCTAGAGATGCAACATTCCAGAATATGTAACATGCCAGAGAGGTTTTAGGTATATATTAGCAGGTGTATGTTCTTTTATCCCCCTTTTTACATGAAAGGTAGCATTGCTGTATACATTGTTCCACAGCTTGCTGTTTTACTTAATTTTTGTAAGAGATTGTTCCATTTCTGGCCATAAAGAGCACTCTCATTTTACAGTTATAAGTGTGTAGCATTATTTGGTATGGATGAACAATTTCTGTAACTATTTCCCTACTGAGGAACATTTAGAAATATTGCCAATAAATACTATGCCATTGAATACAATGCTGCAAGAACCATGCAGACATAAGTGATTGACACAAGTGTGAGTAAATCTGTAGGAAAAATTCCTAAAAATAGAATTGCTAGATCAAAGCATAATGTCTCTGTAATTTCCATAGATATTGCCAACATGCCCTTCCATTAGGCTATTTTGGACACTTTTAAACTTTATGCAATCATCTAAATGGTTTTATATTCTATGTACCATTCTGTTACTTGCTTTTGTTATCAAAATGACATGAGATTTATCCATATTGATGCAGCCCTATGTCATTTATTTTCACATCTGTATAATATTTTAGGCATGAATATTCCACAGTTTATTTTCATTCCCTCTAGATGAGCATTTAGATTGTTCCCATTTTTTTGCTATTATAAACATGCTTCAGTAAAAAAAAAAAAAGTCATGTACTCATCTTTTTGCATATACTCAAGATTTCCTTCCGTAGGGTACAGATACATAAGAATGAAATTGGTAGGTCATGGGGTGTGTACTTTCAGCCTTACTAGATGTTGCCATATTGCTCTCCAAAGTGGTTGTGTCTTTGCAAACACTAGGTAGCATCTAACCTGCACACTTTTTTAAGTTGTAAATCTCTGATTACTACTGGGCTTGACCATTTTCTTTTCTCTTATATTCATGAATTTTTTTGAGTTTCTTTTTTCTGTATATTGCCATCTTATCCTTTGCTCAGCTTCTTCAGCTGCACAATAGTACTCAGTATAACGGAAAAGTAAGAGTAGATCATTGAGCTTGTGACTGAACTTGTCCTGTTGTTCTTATAGGCACAGTGTCTTATAAATGTAAGCGGTGATGCAGTAGTTTTTGTGCGTGAATCTGAATTAGAAGTGGTATCAACTCAGCAACCTGCTGCCAATTGCCAGCCTGCATGTACTGGAGAAGTAACAACCTGAAGTAAACTACAAAGAGTTCAACTAAGTGAAAATCATCTTTCTACATTATTTGGTCGTTAACTGTCTTCTCAGACTTTAAAAACTTGAACTAAACTTGAGATAATTAAGAAAGAATTGATACAAGCATGAGAAGATTTGCTTTGTCTGGAATCTCTTGGAGGCATGAGATTCTCTGATCTTTACTCTTTTTTTTTTTTTCCTAGTCTAGACAGGCAACCCTATGGAATCTTGATCCTTTGGTAAGATAAACTTCTCAGAGAATTTGGTATAGCAAAGATGGAAGCTTTTTGTAATTTATGTTGATTTTAATAAAATAATTTAAAAGATCAAAGGGAAAGATTATAAGGAAACTAGGATAGCTCCCCTAGTCTAGTTTAAAAACTTAAGCAAGGAATTCACAAATTGTTACTGAATAAATAATCTGATTTGAGGAACGTGAGGAGAAATGTTTTCCGAGAACTTCTACATAGGTTTCTAAATGTGTTTTATTTTGATGAGGAATTCAGTAGCAAGTAAAAGGAAAGGTATTTCAGCCATTTTTAAAAAGAAGTTAAAATCTGCAACTTGTACGTGTAATATGTCCTTACTACTGTCAAAGTACCTTATCAGAACTGATGTCCTTTCATTGTAAGTTTTAATATTTCTAAGGAGGAAAAAGGGGTGCAAAAAATTACTGTATAATTCCATAACTGGTCGAATTTCAGTTAGTATTTACTTTGTCTAGAAGGCACCTGGCTTCAACTGGGACGAAAAAATCAGCGAGTTTTGTTGAAATACTTAAAATGTAATTGAGCTAGTAGGAAAACGAAATTATTTTCTAATAAAACACTATAATACTCCTACCAAATAAACAGAATTTTAGTAATGCCTTAGGTTTTTTGATGGTGACTTAGCTGCATTTGACATAGATTTTGGAAATGTAACTTGAATGTAAATATGCTGCAAAATGTTGAATGTATACCTAGAAATAACTTTTCTGTCAAAGCCAAATACACTTTGTAAATGAACCTTAAAAATCACATTCCTCCTTTTGCACAATAAAATTTCTTTATAAAAGTCATGATTTTGCTTTACCAGGATGAAAAACTACCCAAAAGGTTAGGAATCATTTCCTTGTTATCACAGGTGTCAATATTTTTCTGTATTTTGTTTATAATTTTATTTTTTAAATAAAACGTTTATAAAAACAAACTACAATATTTCTAAAACTCTTTTTTGCCTCCTTGATGTAGTGCTATCAGATATCTGCATAACTTTCCATCACAGCACAACTCAAAAGCATCAACTCTTCTTCTGTCTTCCTTATTCATTGTCCAGCTTTCACATGCATATGAGGCTTTAAAAATACCAATGACAAGTTAGGTGCACCTTAGTGTTCAAAGAGACATCTTTGCTCTTCAGCACTTTAAAGAGGTCTTTTGCAGCAGATTTGACCAGTGCAATACATTGTCTGATTTCTTGACTGCTGCTTCCACTGGTGTTGATTGTGGAACCAAGTAATATGAAATCTTTGACAACTTCAGTCTTTTCTTCATTTATTGTGATGCTCCTTATTGTTCCAGTTGTGAGGATTTCTGTTTTCTTTATATTGAGGTATAATCCACATTGCAGACTATAGTCTTTAATCTTCATCAGTAAGTGCTTCAAGTCATCTTCACTTTCAGCAAGCATGGTTGTGTCATCTGCATATCTCAGGTTGTTAATGAGTCTTCCTCCAATCCTGATGGCACATTCTTCATATAGTCCAGTTTCTCAAATTATTTGTTCAGCATACAGATTGAATAAATATAGTGAAAGGATGCAACCCTGAGGCACACTCTTCCTGATTTTAAACCATGCATTATCCCCTTGATCTGTTTGAATGACAACCTCCTGGTCTTATGAGCACAATAAAGTGTTCTAGGATTACGACTCCTCTCAACGGTATCCATAATTTATTATGATCCACACAGCTGAATGCTTTTTCATAGTCAATAAAACACAAGTAAACATCTTTCTGGTATTCTTGGCTTTCACCCAAGATTCCATCTGACATCAGCAGTGATATCCCTCATTCCATGTCCTCTTCTGAATTCAGCTTGCATTTCTGGAAGTTCCCTGACAATAGGGAGTTGCAACTGTTTTTGAATTATCTTCAGCAAAATTTTACTTGCCTGTGATATTAATAATACTGTTCAGTAATTTCTACATTCTGTTGGATGCTTCATCACTGGTTTTTATCTGTAATCACAGCTCTAAAGGTAAACTACATGATTTAAGCAATACTTTGTAAGATTTGTAGCATTCACCTTCTCACTCCTCTACCTCCCATTTTTCTGTAATCCATCACCATCTGCCTTCTATCTCCTATTTTGCCCCTGAATTTGAACATGCCAAGGATATAAGTAAACTTGTAGCTAAAATCTATTAGAAATTTTAAGTTCTGTTTTTATCTGCACTCTGCAGTATGGGATGCTTGGAAAAAAAGATATTTATTCATGCACATAATTTTTGTAAATGCATAAATGAAATCATACCAAAAATTTATAAAAAATGTCCTTTAGTTGCTGTCAAGTCAGCTCTGACTCATGGAGATGTTATGTGTAACAGAAAAGAACACTACCCAGTCCTGTGCCAACTTCACGATCTTCGGTATGTTTGAGTCCAGTAGAATGGCCTTATTTTCTACTATTTTTTGCTTGACTTACTCCCTGTCACATCCTTCCCAACTCTATTAACCTAGTATTCATCTTTATGTTTTTTTTTTTTTTTTAAATCTGCAAGTAAGGTATAATTTACATTCAGTAAAATGTATCTATTTTAAGTATACAGTTCAAGGAGTTTTGACAAATATGTACAGTTGGATAACCAAGATCTAGAACATTGCCATCATCTCAAGAAAGTTCTCTTGTGCCCTTTTCCAGTCAGTACATTCCCTTTTCCGTATAAATGGGATTGTGCAGTATATTCTTATATGTATTCTATATAATTTTATGCCTGGCTTTCATTAACACAGTGCCTTAGAGATGCATCTAGGTTTACACTGTTTTTTGCTAGTGTGTATAAAAATTTTCTTTTGAGTTTATACTTTCCTACTTTCCTGTGGAAATAGAGATTTCTGTTCCAGGGTTAATTTTTTTGTTGTTAATATATAATCTGTCATGTTTTGGCTTTTTTTTTTTTTTTGCTTAATTTGTCTGTAGTTTTATTCATGTAGTTTATAGTAACTTTTATCATATCTAGTTCTTACCGTATGTATCATCTCTAAACCTTTTACTATGGACAATGTCACTATCTTTTATGCTTTTAGGTTCTCTTAGTTGAGATGATGATCTCCATTTTCTGTGCCTACTTAACACATTTTGAGTTGCTCTCAGGTTGGTGGTGCCCCACCAAACTTGCTCTTCTTCACTATTTTTTTACTTCAATAAATGCCATCCCCGCTTACCTAGTTCTGCTTTAGTTAGAAGCCTGGGAGATCCAAAGCCTATGCTGTTTCCTTTATAACACCCTGCCCCATGGTACAGCATAGATTAAAAACTTGGAAGCATTATTGTATGGAAGCGACAACTTTAATTATGAACACATTGTAAGATTGCTATGAGTTGGAATTGATTTGATTGGCAATTTTTTTTTTAAACAAAGATCTCGTCCCCCTTCATTCACCCCCAGGTAAGGGTGTTTCACAGAGTACTTGGAGAACCTGCTCTAAATCCAGGATTTTCCCCAGAAAACCAAGCATGCACATGAAATTGTGCACCCTACATACGGAGATTTATTGAAACCTGTCTATTGACCCCAGGTTAAATCTAGTATAAGATGAATGAAGTGAAAATAAGGAACCAAGCTGAAGAAAATGTCAGAAAAAAATTGAATAAATACCATCCCCCAAATTTGGCTTTTTCCCCCATGGGAAAATTTACTTCTAAAAAACAGAATTAAAATTTTAAATTAATTTTAAATTAAAAAGTTCGATGGTAGGCAGAATTATGCACACCCACCCCCATCCTAATCCTTGGAACTTGTGTCTATGTTATCTTACATGAAGAAAAGGATTTTGTGGATGTGATTAAGGTTAGGTCTCTTGAAGTGGGGAAATTATTCTGGATTAATCACATTAATCCTTAAAAGTGGAAGAAGGAGATAGAGATGGTATGTGATTGAATGTGATGTGAGAAGTCTAGGTCTGCCGTTCCTGGATGACTTGGAAGATTAAGGAAGAAGATGAAGATGAAGCTAAGAAATGTGGGCGGTGTCTAAAAGCTGGAAATGGCTCTCAGCTGATAGCCAGCAAAGAAATGGGGATTTCAGTTCTACAGCGTCAGGGAACTGAATTCTGCCGTCGACTCAAATGAGCAAGGTCCTCCCCTACAGCCTCCAAGCAAAGAAAGCAGCCCTGCGCAGGCTTGAGTTTAGCCTGGTGAGACCCATTTTGGACTTCGGACCTACAGAACTGTGAGATAATAAATTTGTGTTGTTTAAGCCATGTTGTTGTTGTTATGTGCCGTCAGTCGGCCCCGACTCATAGCGACCCCCTCCTTGGGTTACCGACGCGGTATCGCTACACAAGTAGGATTGCTCAACCTTCCTTAGGAGAAGTTGCTGGTGGGTTTGAACCGCCATTCTTCTGGTTAGCAGTCAAGTGCCTTAGGCACTATGTTACCAGAGCGCCTGTTTAAATCATGAATTTATGTTAATTTGTTATAAAAGCAATAAAGAATATAGTACCTATAAAAATTAACTAAAGGTGTATAACATAAAGTTATAAAGATGTACAATTTGTGGTAACATCTAATCTGAAGTGCTTCATTAATACTGTACATGTACAATCATAGCTCTAATTTTTTAAATTAATTTTTGTGTACCCACCTGCCTAATTAACAGAAAGTATAGAATCTCCCTCATTTGAACATATCTCCCCTTTTGGAATTGTCCAGAGGCTCAATCTTGTCCAAACAGGGTTCAGTTCAATTTCAATACCCAAGCTGTTAAAAAACAAACAGCAAACTCACTGCCATGGAGCTGGATGCGACTCTTAGTGACCCCTCTTTGGGTTTTCGAGGCAATATTTCTACGGAAGTAGATTGCCCAACCTTCCTTCCGCCAGTGGGTTTGAACCGCCAGTCTTCTTGTTAGCAGTCAAATGCCTGAGGGACTACACCACCAGAGCTCCTCCTACCCATCAACCAAGCTGTTAAAGAGTGTGGAAATCTCATTGGCATACTGTTGCATTTGTTCCCACTGCCACAAGGTGTTGCTGTTGGAATGGATTCCACACAATGGAAAAGCTAAGACGAATCTCCTCTAGTGCATGGTCTACTGGTCAAGACCTCCACACAGCCTTCCAGGGTTCTTTAGGCAGGTAATATTTTTCCCTCCGTACCGCCTCAGAAACCCAAAAAGGGGTCGCCTCGACGGCAGTGAGTTTGCTTTGATACCTATTCCATCTAAGGAAGCTTGTCAAGTTTCAGTTTCGAATGCCCAAACCTCTCAGTTTCTCATTTACAGCTACTTCCCAAAGGGCCAGAAGTCCCAGAGGCTCCATATCACAGCTGGTTTCCAAGTATTCCATGACATGGTCATAGCCTGAAGTATTTCCAGGGAGTCTCGTCATTACTATTCCAAGAGATACATCTCAGAGGATTCCAAGACACCCTTCTAAAAGGAGCTTGGTGATGTAAAGATGATTTTCTGATACCACCATGATGGCTTGCTGATACTCCTCAGTAAATTTAATTTTTTTAGGGCATAATTCCATTTGAAAATACATATGACATAGAAATTTTTTTTTTTTAATCTTCTAAGTAATTTATTTACTTTCAACTTCTGTTTAGCAAATCTTTCCTTGCCACAAAGTCAAAATGAATTGAGGTATGTTATTATTATTCTTGGGTCCTGTGGAATCTACTATGACTCATAGTGACCAGATGTACAACAGATGAAACACTTCCCGGTCCTGCACCATCCTCACAGTCTTTGCCATATTTGAACCCATTGTTGCAGCCACTTGTTGATCCAAATCTCTGAGGGTCTTCCTCTCTTTATGCTGACCCTCTACTTTACCAAGCATGATATTCTTCTCCAGGGTTTGGTCCCTCCTGATAATGTGTCCAAAGTACATGAGCTGAAGTCTCACCATCCTCTCACTTTCTAAGGGAGCATTCTGGCTGTACTTCTTCCAAAATAGATTTGTTTGTTCTGCTGGCAGTTTGTGTTATATTCAGTACTTTTCACCAACACCCTAAGTCA